ATTAGTTATGCTCTGATTGATTTTGGGTATTGTGGTTAATTTATGTATCTAAACCACTTTTACTTTAATGAAAGATTTAAATTTTATTTGAATTTTGTCAATAGTCAAAGTTTAAAAAGTCAATGTGACACCTCAGACTCGTATCCGGGTCGGGTACGGGTTGGGGGTGTTACACGAATGACTTATCATCTTTCTTGAAAGACTTACTGATGACCCGAAGGATTTAAGCATCATGCTCGAAAGACTTACTGATGGCCCGAAGGACTTATATATTTTGGAAATAGTTTACTAGGTAAGAAATCTTTCTTACTTTTCAAAAATTTCAAATTTTAGATTTAAATGAGAAACCTTTCTCATATTTCGATAGATATGTGGAAACATCCAGCCCGAAGGTCTTATGGATGACCCGAATGATTTAAGCATCATGCTCGAAAAACTTATTGATGGCTTGAAGGACTTATAAATTTTGGAAATAGTTTAATAGATAAGAAGCCTTGCTTACTTTTCAAAATTTCAAATTTCAGATTTAAATGAGAAATCTTTCTCATTTTTCGAGAGACATGTGAAAACATCCTGCTCGAAGGACTTTTGCATGGCTCGAAGGACTTATCATCTTGCTTGAAATACTTACAAATGACCCGAAGGATTTAAGTATCATGCTCGAAAGACTTACTGATGGCCCGAAGGACTTATAAATTTTGGAAATAGTTTACTAGGTAGGAAAACTTTCATACTTTTCAAAAATTTCAATTTTCATATTTAAATGAGAAACTTTTCTCATTTTTCGATACTCATGTGAAAACATCTTGCCCGAAGGTCTTATGGATGGCCCAAAGGACTTATCATCTTGCTTGAAAAACTTACAGATTACCCGAAGGATTTAAGCATCATGCTTCGAAAGACTTACTGATGGCCCTAAGGACTTATAAATTTTGGAAATAGTTTACTGGGTAAGAAACCTTTCTTACTTTCAAAATTTTCAAATTTCAGATTTAAATGAGAAACATTTCTAATTTTTCGAGAGACATGTGAAAACATCCTGCCCGAAGGACTTATGGATGGCTTGAAGGACTTATCATCTTGCTCAAAAGACTTACAGATGACTCGAAAGATTTAAGGATCATGCTTGAAAGACTTACTGATGGCCCGAAGGACTTATAAATTTTGGAAATAGTTACTAGGTAAGAAACCTTTCTTACTTTTCAAAAATTTCAAATTTCAGATTTAAATAAGAAACCTTTCTCATTTTTCGAGAGACATGTGAAAACATCCTGCCCGAAGGACTTATGGATTGCCTGAAGGACTTATCATCTTGCTCGAAAGACTTACAGATAACCCGACGAATTTAAGCATCATGCTCGAAAGACTTACTGATGGCCCGAAAGACTTAAATTTGGAAATAGTTTACTAGGTAAGAAACCTTTCTTACTTTTCAAAAATTTCAATTTTTAGATTTAAATGAGAAACATTTCTCATTTTATTTTTTTACTTATAAAATGACTTAGTGGTAGGGTAACATGCCCCACTTTAAAGTAATGATTCCTCTGTGGATTAGGCCCACCATGTTTTTCAGATTCTGCCTCTTTAAACATGATTCCTTGTATTTGAGGTTTGAATTCTAGCTTCCACTTGTTGGGATTTTAATACCAAGAATCCTCTCTTTTCATTGGAAGATCTGTAAAAACCATATGTTTATGTGTAAACTGCGAATGCAATGTAATGCATTTCTTTTATGCAAATGATGTTCTCATGCATGCACAAATGTTGATTCAATTTTCCTTTGACTCCAAAGTGGAGAACCAATACTTCTCCCTCTTAATCACTTCTCTCTATGGTTTACTGAGATATCAATGTAACAACTTATGATTTCAAGCTTGCAACTCTGAAGAGCCATCTGATCATCTTATGTCTTTGTGTTCTGTCTTCATTTCGAAGGAAGTTGGAATTTTTACAAAGTCGTGACAATCATGGAAAGGATAAAAATCAATAAATAAAGTCAAATGCCTCAAGTATCACCAGCATGAATGTTTCTGAACCTATCAACTTGATATAATTTAGAGCACTGAGGTAAACTTCTGTCTAGAAGAACGCAAATGTTGCCAAAATATCTGTAGATGTGAAGCTCCTCTCAAAATATTAGACTTTTGTGGGTGTTTTACTTGCCTGGTGCCTATCAAAATGTAATCGCCCTTTTAGATTTTCACCTCAAATACTTCTTTTGGCTTTAAAACAATCTTTGTGGATTCTCGTCTTGAGCCCCTTTTCAAATTTCCTTATTCTTTTTCTTATCTATCCTTTTTTCTTTTTCTTTTTTCTTTTTCTTCTTCTTTATTCTTTATTCTTTTTTTTCTTTTCCTTTTTTTTTCGAGTGTGGTATTTCTAAACAAGAATCAAAATTACATGGCCACACAATTTATCTTCATCAATCTCTATAAAAAATAATATTTCTCTAGAAAAGGTCTTATTGACAACATATGGTATTTTCTCCCTTAGACATCTATTTCTCACGGAAACCCTTATGAATCGACAAGATCTTTTCAATCACCAGATCACCCTTTCAAAAATTTTAAAGCTCGTTTCGTTTTCTTCTGACACATCTGTCCATGTCAGATAACTTCTGACCACTTTTCTTCAATGAGGTTGAAATGATTGTGTTGATCTTGAGCGTATTCAAATTGGCTTTATCTATATCTTTGTCAAAACTTGAAGTAACGAAATCTAAACCACAAGGAGTAAGCTAAAAACCAAATAGAAGCAACGTTATCCCTTGTCCGAGTATATATTGACGTTTGACATGCATACATGATGAAGGATAATTTCCAACTTGATCGGACGACTGTGATGAGGAGGCGACTGTGAAAGAGTTAAGGTAAAACCCTAATTTTGGTGCGATTTGGGCCATCCTTCTCCAACTTGATTGGACGACTGTGATGAGGAGGCGACTGGAGCTAATATGGAAAACCCTAACTGTTTGGGTTCTCACATTGGGCTTCGTCCCTGGGCTGAACGAACGTGTTGTTGTTTGTATTATGGGTCAGTTGATTGGGCTTGGTTTGAGTATGATGTAATTGGGGCCAAATTTGGGATGCTGTAATTGGTCTGTAAACATAGACTAAAAATTAGTTAATAATAATTAAATGGGATGAAAAATGAGTGTCGACAATCCAAAATGAGTTTTATACTATTAATAACGAACGTTAGATATTAAAACCACAACCACTATATAAAATGTTTTGCACATAAAATGTGATGCAATTAACGTGTTTTTTTTCTGCACCGTTAGATTATATTTAGTTTTCTAGTTGACCATTCATTTGTCTATTCTTTGTAGATATTAAAGGATAATAAGATTTGGTTGTTATTTAAAGGATCTGAGTTTCATATATTTATCTTAATTTCAGTTACACACACACATGCATGTTTTACTTTATCCTGTGGTATAGGATTTTACTAAATTATATTTAGGATAATTATTGTTGGTATTTTATGCATTTCATAATTAATAATAATTTACGAGTTAGATTAAGAAAATTCTGCATTTTTATAATAATTAATATTTTTAATACATTATAATAAAAAATTAAATTATGGATTATTTTAAAAATCGACGTCAATGTATCCACTGAACTATTTAAATATATTCAATATAGCCACTAGCCATTAAAATCTAACGGAGGGTGACATGGCAGTTAACATATATTTGAATAATTACACATTTGATTCTCAATATTTATATATCCTATCAATTTAGTCCTAATTTTAATTTAATTTGAAAAATTAATTCTCTAATCAGGATGTTCTATGTGTCAATCGATTATTGAGACATATTTTAATAGTTACACATGTCATAACCTAATTGGAGAGTTTCTTTTAATTAATTTTAATATTTTAATTAAATGAAATTTTCCACAACTCAATGGTGAAACGTGTCCCGATCTGTTTAAAGTGAAAACAAACATAAGTGAAATATTAATACCTAAAGGAATTAAACCCGAGACCTTAGGCATAAGGAGAACACGCCGTAACCATTGAAACAAGTCCAATATTTGTGACTAGTTTGTTAAACCTTTTACATGTCTTGTTTTAAATATACATAAAAAAATAAATATTTTAATAAATAAATTATAAGATAAACTATTTGAATGACTACTTAAACAATATTCTAATAAATAAATTATTAATTAATGCAAGGTTTAAAAGCAAAAATGAGTTTCAAATTTTATATTTTAAAATTATATTATTTTTATATAATTATTTATAAACAAGTTTAAATTATATATTTTTATTTTTTATAACATTTGTTTTTCATTTATCATCTAAAATTAACTGTAAAATAATTATTTAATAAATAAATAAATATATTATATATTATTTTTTCTTACAATGTTTGTTATTCATTTATCATTTAAAAATAATTATTTGTAACAAATTTAAATTATATATTATTTTATACTTTCTCACAAATTTTTTTATTCATTTATCATTTAAAAATAATTGTAAAGTAATTATTTTAAATAAGTTTAAATTATATATTATTTTTAAATAATATATAATTTAAACTTGTTTAAAGTAATAATATGAAAATAATTTAATTAAAATATTAAAATTAATTAAAAAACTCTCCAATCAGGTTATGACATGTGTAACTATTAAATTTTTTGAATTATATTAAAACTTGGACTAAATTGATAGAATATACAATTTTGAGGATCAAATATATAATTATATAAATTTATGTTAACTGTCACGTCGCCCCTCCATCAGATTTTAACGGCTAGTGATTATTTTGAACCTATTTAAATAATTCAGTGATCATATCGATGCAAATTTGAAAATGCTGATAATTTCGATACCAATTCTATAGGTTGATGGTTATTGAAGTAGTTTACCCTAATGTTATTACTTTGTTTAATTATTGATATTACGCGCGAAATAAGCTAAAAGTAGGAAGAGAGGAGATATTAACGCAAAAATTACTCTCTCCCGCTCTTGATTTCATCTTATCTGAATCTCAATTTTCATTCAAATAACAAACAACATTCTTTGATATTATTATTATTCGTGATTGAAAAGAGGGAAAAATGTTCGATTCCTTTTCAATTAGTTCGATTATACCCGTCTGATTCCTGGCCCCAAAGCGGAATATATTGGCCAAAATTTCGAAATTTATTGAGAATTTGAAATAAGTAAATCGATTTAATCGTAGTTTGTAAGTTCAGAGATGGGGTCAAGCAAACGCGGGACTTCTTCTCAACGGATGCGTAGGACGATTGAAGGCATGCATTTTTTACCATTTTATAACTTTTATTCCTTGGGCTATAGATTTTTTTTTCTCTCCTGAATTTTTGAATCTTTCGTTATTATTTTCCCCTTTTTCTGTCATTTGGTTATTTTCTCCTCATAATTTTATTTAAGAACTCGAATCATGTTGGGTTTTTCCATATCTCTTGTTGTTTATTATTTTTCTAGTTTATTAAATAGATTAATTGGGATTTAATTGGTGTAAGAATCAATAATTGATTAAATTGAGTACCTCTAAAAATTGTTTGATTGATTATTTGAAAGATCAATGTGAGTTGAATATATTAAAGATTGCTTTTCCATATTCTGGCAAAGCCGCGTAAAGAAAAATGAAATTGTTTACTTTGTTTTAAAGTTTTTATGGTTATGAGATGCTGTCAATTTGATGAAGATAGGTCAAAATTTCTCTTGCCTTGTTGTTGAAAGTATTCATGCTTTGTTTCTCTTATATTCTTCATCTGAATACTGTCTAATAAGTTCTTTGGGAATTCTGTTTCAAATAATTGAACACCACTATAAGTGCATTTAACTATCTTCTCTTGATTCCAATCCTTTAAATCCTTATACCACTCAGGAAATTGAAATAATAACTTACGGGAAACACTTTTAGCTATTATCAATGAAGGTAATGTAGTATATTTTCTAAGAATTGATTTGGTTATTAACATGGAGCTCCCTATTACACGAACAAGTAAAATTCTATCGCAAACTTCTTTTTTGTCATATTATCCTTCTTAAATGAATTAGACGTGGATACATTAGTTTCTTTTATGAAGGTAGCTTTATGTGCACGTGCTGTATAAAGAGAGAATCATGAGTCATGGAGTTCTTTCTGACCCATAGCCGATAGGCTTGTTAAATTTTGCAGATCTTCGTAAGAGACAGAGACAAGAACTAGAGAATTTGACATTGACAACACAGCCTTTCAAAACGTTAAGGCTGTTCATTCTGGCTATCTTTGAATATTTCAAGCAATCAGTATTTTATCTTTTTGCAAAGGGCAGCTGGATTGTGTTTTTAAACACCCTAATAGCAGCTCTTGGAATTTTTCTTGTGACCATTGAGGGCCCTCATGGAAAGGTAATGCTTTGTAGCTTATCCTAGTATTTTCATGTGTATTTCTCATGGATTTATTTCGATGTACAGCATACATCTGTATGTGGTTGAGGTTTTTCTTTGTTCAGATTTTGTGATTGTTGTGCACTGTCTGCTCCATTTAACCATGCAATTGAGAGATGCAAGTAGCATTATTAATATGTTTCCCTGGTCCTCCTCCTCCTCCTCCTCTTCTTCTCTCTTGTGTCTGTTGTGGTGGGGAGAGTGAGGGTGGTTGTGGTGGATGGGTTGTGCCTTGTTGCCTTTTAATGAAATATACATTTGTACCTTTTTGCTTTTATGGTGATTATGATGAGTTTTTGTACATTGTTCAGTTGAAACAGTTTCTGTTTCATTTGTAGTTTTCATCATTTATCATGATCAGATTAACAGAAACAATAAGCAACATTTGGTGTCTCGATTACATTTTTTCACAGCATGTTGAGGAAGTTTCTCAGTATATTCAATTTGGATTATGGTGGATTGCACTTGGTGTTGCATCTTCAATTGGTCTTGGTAAGAATATTGATTTCATGAAGATCTTTTATGTTGCCTGGAGTATGTTTGATGAATAAAGCATGATTAGAAGGATTTGGTGATTTTCTGTTGCTGTTATTACTATACTGGTATGATGTAGGCTGTTGAAACACTTTCTTCAGAACAATGGCTGACATATCAGATGTGAAATGGTATTTATGGAAATATGCAATTTCTTCTGCATTGAAAGATAGACCTTATCTTTCAGATGTGGTTCTTTCTAGTTATTGCTGCTTTTTCTTTCTTTTTTTAAAAAAATAAATTGGCTTAGGTTTTCTTGATCTGTATTAATCAAATAAACTGGGATAATTTAATCATTAGGAATAACTTTAATTATTATTTCTAAAATTGACATGTATGGTCTACCCATTTGTTTTCGAATTTCTTTTGTGATGAAGGAGAGGATATCAATTTGTGTGGTTTCTGCTATGTCCGCTTTTGTGCCAAGGAATTTTTCTGAAATCTAATCTGATTATACTTTTATTCTACATTTTTTTTCTTGCAAGTTTTGGGACACCAGAAGAAATATTCCTTGATCAGATTTTAACTTTCTACATAACCTTCGGTATTCCAGGATCTGGTCTACACACTTTTGTTCTTTATTTGGGTCCTCATATTGCCTTCTTCACAATAAAAGCAATGCAATGTGGACGAATAGACCTGAAAAGTGCTCCTTATGATACAATACAATTGAAGAGAGGTCCTTCATGGCTAGACAAACCCTGCAGTGAGTTTGGGCCCCCATTGTTTTCACCATCACATGGGTCAAGGGTTCCCATTAGCAGCATATTGCCACAGGTGCAGATGGAAGCTATCTTATGGGGTCTTGGGACCGCAATTGGAGAACTTCCTCCTTACTTCATCTCAAGGGCAGGTAAGAGAATTGTCTTTATACTTTATTGTTCTATTAGAATAACACGATTTGTTAGAAGAATTTATTTATGGTAGGCTGGGAGAGCATTTCTTGAAGAGGCCGTAATCCTTTTAGCATTGAATTTGATGGTTACGATAGTGGTTTTGGGTTTAACATTGCAATATGCAAAGGAATTCCTTGAGACCTGTTCCAAGATGAAGCCAGGCGCTTTGTGTCTGTAACCCTCATGAAAATTGGATTTATTGCTTAAATTTTTGTCTTGATCCGTACCTTAATTTTTTTAAACGTTGTTTGTTGATCTAGTTCGCTTGAGTTTGCAATTTAGTTCCCTTTATTGATGTTTGACTCCACAATGATAGGTGATTATGAAGTTAAAATCCTTCTCTGTTCTTTGTCTAAATGTTGGTTGTCTACTTTCTATTTAAATTTTCTACTTGTCCATACTGTTAAATCATCCAGCTCAAGTTGATCTACTTCTCTATGCAGCCAGTCTATCAGGCAGCAATTTTAACGCCATGGAAGAATTGGATGCTTCCTCAAGTGAGAATAATGGAGTCATAGCTACTCGCCTGAACCAGATCAAGCGCTGGTTGTTATCCCACTCCAAACACATGAACTTCTTCACCATTTTAGTGCTTGCCTCGGTTAGTTATAATTCACCTTTTTCATTTCATAGCCCTACGTTTCGAACAAGCAAAATATTGATGCTGCTTTAGACATTTTATTTTAATTGCAGCTTCTTTTATCTCTGTTATCTCTGTTTTCTGTTTGCACGTGCATGAGAAAAAGCAAATGTGCACCCACACCCACAATGTTGCCTAAAAACATCAATCTTTGGATACATTTTCTCCAGGGTAGTACCCTACTTTATGACAATAACCGTCTCAGTAAAAGTTTTCTCAACCTATAATTTTTTTTTGATAAATGTAAATTTGATGTGAAAATTTTAACGAGTCAATTATGAAGTGTGGCATTATGTTGTGAGAGTATAATGGAGAAACTTGAAAAGCATTTAAAGACCAAGTATTGTTAGTTATTTTCACTTAAGATCATCAAAGTTCACCACAGTTTATAAATGCTTTTTATGTCACTGCTTTTAGATTTTATCATGTAAACCTGCTGATTGACTGAACCATGTTTCAGGTCCCAAATCCTTTATTTGACCTTGCCGGCATCATGTGTGGACAATTTGGGGTTCCATTTTGGGAGTTCTTTCTAGCAACATTGATTGGGAAGGCGATTATTAAAACTCACATACAGGTTGGTGTTGTTTTTCTTTGTGTTTTATCATACAAGCAGAGCATCAGTTCCCCATTGTTATCTTTTCTACCGAATCAATTTGTTTCTACCCCCTGAGTTGAAGCTCTTATAATACTTTAATTGTTTATCGTTTGATTATGGTGTTCATGAAAATCTATCCATTCTCGAATGATTCAGTTGGACTCGACTATTATCAGAAAAACGCAAACTTCTACATCTTATGTGTATGTATTCGATTCCTTCACTGCAGACGGTTTTTATCATCTCTGTCTGTAATAATCAGCTCCTGGAATGGATAGAGAACGAATTGATCTGGGTGCTCAGCAGCCTCGTACCTGGATTTGACTCGTACTTGCCCACACTCACTGCAAAACTTAATGCAGTTAAGGAAAAGTACTTGGCTGCCCCACATCCAGTTCCTTCAAATATCAAGGTACTCCTTGAGTCGGTACAAAAAACGTATCTATTTTAACCTGAATTTAAATCGTCATCCGCTCTAGGAATACATCATTCTAAATAAACTCTGTAAAAATGATTTTTAAATCTGTTCTGCAAAATGTTTTTCAGGGGAAGTGGGATTTTTCTTTTTCTTCGATCTGGAACACCATTGTGTGGCTTATGCTTATGAACTTCTTTGTCAAGATCGTCAATGCGGCTGCTCAGAACCATCTGAAAAAGCAGCAAGATAAGCAGCTCCCAAGGAAGTTATCTGCTTCAACGCATTGAGGTTAGGAATTCACGAAGCAGATATACCGCGTCCCGTTGTCGTTTTTCTTTCTTTGTTTATGAATAGTGTTAGTGAACTACATGTTATTACTTTTTTCATAATTTACCATTGAAGCAACTCCGAAAGAACTCGCTGCCCTGTTAGAAGCTTTGTATAAAGAAAAAATAGGAACACAGACAAATAGAATCTCCAGGTTTTATAATTACTGTGTAATGCAGGTGGTGATCATTGTTTTTGCCCTGGTGTTGACAACTGTTTTGACACTGGGAAATTTATTCTTTGGCAATGCAAGACTTCAATCAATTGGCTTTGCTTTCATCTTCCGCTATTTGTTACCTTTTGCATGCAATGAATGATTTGCTATGTTGTTTTTCATATGTTTTCTTAAAGGGTAAATTACATAAATAGTCACTGATGTTCGAGTAAATTTTTTCTTTTCCCCACTGATGTTTCAAAACTAACGATTTGGTTATTAATGTTATCTATTTATAACAAATCGGTCACTCATCTTTAACCGTCGTTACTAGAGGTGGTGGAATATTGTTGATCAAAGTTTGACGTGGCTTATATAGAAAAGTCTACAGGTCAGTCAGTTAACACATCACATCAGCATTTTGTTACCCTCAATTACAATTGTTAGTAACAAGTGATTGATTTGTTATATATTGATAACATTAGTGACCAAGGCGTTAGTTTTAAAACATCAGTGGGTAAAGAAAAATTTTCTCAAATGTAAGTGGTCATTTATGTAGCTTACCATTTCTTAAATTATTACCTTGACTTCAACAACTATTCTAATTATTATGATTTATTATTATTTAACTATTAGTCCTTTTCACTTTGACTATCGATTTTAAAATTTTGTCATTTAGGTTATCTGATTATTTAAGTATTGCAATCGAACTACTAATGAATAATATTTAACAAAAAAAATGACATAATAGTTAAAAGATCTAATATAATTACACATACTACTTATATGTTTTATCAATTTGATCTTAAATTTTAATAAATTAAACTATATCCTATCAAGAATAAAATTATATTTTGATTTATCTTAAAAATAAATAATAATACTATTCTAATATTTGATCATAATTTCATCACTGACTATATCTAATAATGTACAATAAACGGCAGAAAACAATGCACTTGTAAACAAGGTGTATGATGGAAAAATAATGACAATACATATTTGGAAAATATTGCAAAGTTTCCGGAGACAGTACTATAAAAGATTGCGTCGCCCTCTTGGATTAATGCCTGATGTGACACCTCGCACCTTGACCCGGCTCTTTGTATTCACTCCATTCTTGGTTTATTGGCAATCAGGATGAAAAAAATTGGTTTATTGATTTTGTTTTCAAATAATATAAAATTTATAATTATTCGTTTTAAACTATATTTTATTTTTGATTAATTTATGAACAATCATTTGTTTTTGAATTCATGAAAAATAAATATATATGCATGTTAAATAAAATAAATAAATAATTTATTTCTCCATCCACCTATTATTTTGTTTCTTTTTAATCACTTAACTATTATGTTTTTTAGGTCATGCTTGACGTTAAGTTTATGTTTTATTTTGATCATCAAATGTTAAAAAAAGTAATGGTGATATTGATGTGTTATCATAAGGTAATGACACTTCATCATTGAAAAGAATAAAAAACACCACAACAACATTACTTTTTTTTTAACGACATGTGACAAAAATAAAATAAAAAAGTAACGTTAGATATATTTTTTTAAAAATTAATAGTTGGGTAACCAAAACATAAACTAAGTAATTGGCGAGTGATTGAATATATAATTTACCTTAAAATAAATATTTGAAATTAATAAATTATATATAAAATTTAGTATGATTTTTTTTTGTTGAGAAAAACTATGCTTTTTTGAAATAATTGAAAAGATTATAGAAAGGAAAGGTGGTGACCAAGGCGATATTAAAGGCAACAAATCCAAGGTTACCTTATTATGGTCGGCCATATATATATATATATATATATATGACTTACCATAGAAAGCTCATCTTAGCTTGGTAACTTGTTAAGAGAATAAAACTTGCCCGTATTAATGGGGATTCCAATCAAACCTCTTGTTCCTTGAGAATTGAGGTGGTCATCGTTGAAGAAGAAGAAGGTTGATCATCATTATTTTGACCACCATGAAGAATTCCACTCGTTTTCTGCTAATGCTTTTCGTTGCTTGTGCCATCATCTTCATGTCAGTGTATTATACAGCAGGACAGTTTTTGGGCACTGAGTATGAGGTTCGAGTGATCAACGGCTTCTCCAACAACTCATCGCTGCCATTGGTGATCTGGTGCGTGTCACAGCAGGATGGGGACATGGGTGGCCGTGCCCTACAGGAAGGCGACGATTACGGGTGGCGAGTTAAGACCAATATATGGGGCGATTTTGGCTACTTGTGTACGTTGAAATGGGATGGGAAGAGGAGGAGTTTCGAGGCGTTTAGGGTTGGGAGAGACAGTCGAAGGTGTGGTCCTCTTAACAAGTGTTCTTGGTTGGTTAAAGAGGATGGCTTCTACTTCAGCAGTGATGAAGTTAACTGGAAGAAACACTTTTCCTGGTGTTGAGTTTTGCATAATGCTGATAAAAAAAAACCACATCTTCTCTGTCTGTCGATATCCAACGCAACTTTTCGCTGTTGATATGACAGCTCCACAGTTTTGTCCATTGAGAAAGAAAAAAAAAGAACGAAATTTGGTTTAGTTCTAGGGCATGTGCATGCCTTGTGGAAGCTGAAAACAAATATGATTTTGCTTTTGAGAACAACGTTTAATATAACAATTGTTCTTACCATGAAGTTTGCGTTTCAAGTTTCATTGTACTTTTCTCTGTTATACCTCTGTAGGTCATTTTCAGAAACGATCAGTTCTTCATTTACTAAAATTTCCGAATACCAGACCCTTCGAGGAATTTATATCCTCCAAGTTAAGGAGCATTATGACATCCGAATCAACTACGGTACATAGGATAAAACCTTTGACACTTGTCAGAACAAAGTCTAAGATTATTTTATTAATTACAATTTTCCATCTACATCAAAATCAACCACCAATGCGACAAATTTATCCAATAATATAACCTTTCAATAACAGTTTACAGCAACAATTGTGTCTATGTTTAGAATGCAAGGTCTTATGTTCATAAATTAATCACCATGTGCCTTGCTGAGAGAAATGCACAGTTAGTGGCTTAAGGGGTTTCTCACAACACATAATATTCAGTTGATCTATAGAAGTTGCTCCGATCTTGCTTCCTTCTAAAAGATCCACCCACAACAGAAATTTCAAATTCTAAGAAAGATCCGTCTGCAATAGATTTGGTTCATCACTTCATCAAGTAAATAAAGACTTTTCAAGACAACTGGCATGCCCAGCTTCCACCGGGGGGAGGCCATGCCGCCACAAGGGCCCAAAAGCAAGCAAAGACTGGACTGGACAGGTGTCATGATTGTTTATTTAGTGGCCTAATTTCCCAAACAAGTATGTGATAGATAATATAGATAGAGGGTAGAAATTACTTTAGCTCCATCGGTACTATAATAAATGAATCGTAATTTACTTTACAAAAATAATAGCACAACTGAGTGCTTGATGAAATGTAGGCACCTAAAAACGATGTGAGGGGGGAAAGACCATTCATCATCATTTTCAGTTACCTTTTACTTCTCCAATTTCATATATCTCCATACAAACCCATTCAGATCATTCATCTGGACATTGCCGGGACCGAAACCTAGTATCCGAAAGTAATCCGACAATACGCTTTTCAAGCCTTTTTGCTCCTGGACCAGGCCTCAAGATATCAGCATCCCCCCACAATGAACATGTGTCGTTTTTTGGAACACCTACGCACCATCCACCTTGTACAACTCTGCCGGGTTTGCGTTTCAAAAATTCTGTCGATATGGTCGAGTACCGGATCGTCAAACTGGAACTCTGTCGCAAAGGCATCTCCACTCTGAATCATAGCATCAAATTCTGCAGAATTGGTTAAGGAAGGCTTCTTCGAAGAGGATACATTGGAGGTTACATACTGTAGGCTATGGTTTATATCAGTGCGCTTGAACTTGTCAGTGTTACAAAGGATGGTAGGGAAATAATTGGGGAAAGGATAAGGCATATTTGCCAAATACATAAGCAAAGTCCTAGGAAGGTTGTCTGTACCAAGGATGCAGAACTCGATGAAAGTACGAGTTAACATTGTGAAAATTGAACCTGCAAAAGATGTGATCTCAACAAAAGGAATTGCATATGATATCTTGTATGACAACACCATTTATAAATAAACAACAAAGGAAGTAATCTTCTGGGATTAAATCAATCACTTATAAAACCATTAAAAATTAATTGAACGGACGTAAATGACGGAAACCAAACAACTCTCGACATAAGGGGAACTTTATGTCTTAGCAGTTGTTTAGAATAACGATCATCGAAGACTTGTTCTACATTGGCATTTCATTGATAGAGAAATTTCCAAAGAAAAAGGTGGGGTCCTGCAACCAACTTACTATACCTTTTAATGCTGTACGACGATACATGGAACATATACAATCTCCTACAACAGTCTCGCAACATCTTTCAGTGTTTCGCAAACGGATAGAATCACCATTTCGGTCACTACTAACAAGAGAAAATGGTAGCAAGGCTTTCTTTTAGGGCAGGAAAGATTGCTTCCACTTAAAAACTTAACCCTAATATATGCATGAAAGGTTTCTTTTTTTTATAAATTCCTTTCCTCTTTTCCTTCTGTTTTTTTTTTATAAGAAAGAGAGGTCTCATTAAACCCCCTTCATAACCGTCAAAATACAAAAGCATCTCGACGGACATTGGAAGAAGGAAAAGAGTTCCTCAAAATTTTATTACCAAATTACAAAAATACACAGTACAGGAAAACGTACAAAAGCATTCGCACCAAATCACTTCCTCCTACAAACCAGAAATAAAAACTCCCTCATCCAAATCCTAACTTAGCTAGAACATCCGCCTCACAGTTCACAACTCTTTTAATATGCCTAACAATAACATTCCTATCCACTACGATAGACACTATTTCCTCCACTAGTGATTTAAATAAGGTAGAACAAGAACTCATATTCTTGATCCAATCTAAGGCTTTGATACAATCGCTCTCCAAGATAAGCCTTCCCTTTTATCTCCAAGTAGATTCCAAGAAGAACACTAATCCCACTTTGATTGCCAAAAGCTTTGCCATAATTGGGGGACCCGAACCAACACTCTCAGAAAAATTCCCTAGTACCACACCTTATTCATCACGTAATAAACCACCAATACCTCCTTTAATCCATAGCTTGTCCATTGCGCCATCCACATTCATTTTGAAAAAAAACCTTTAGGAGGAGGCCGCCAAGATAAAGAACCGGAGGATGATTTCTTGTTGTTTGACCAAGAGTCAGCCAAAGAAGGATTTCCCACCAAACAATCAAAAGGAATAGGGAGGTTTGGAAATTTTGCCGAATACAATGCAACCACCCTATACCTTGTTAGGAAAAAATAGAGTTTGATCTAAACTCTTCCTCTAAAAAACAACATCGTTTCTATATTTCCAAACTGACCATAAAATATCCCCTGGAATAAACAACTAAATGGTCGAGCGAGGAACCAAACTCATCCAAACAAAAACTAGATCAGCAGGATTCTCAGGCACAACAAACGACGCCCCCACAGGCTCAAGAACTTAGACCATAACCTTCAAGTTACAGTAGATGGAACAAACAAGTGAGAGATGGATTCCGGGGCCAAACCACAAAGAGGGAAAAATTATACACGATCTCAGGGACCCCACGCTTTACCAACTTAACTTTGACTTCCAATTTCTTCTTAAAAACCTGCCAAACAAAAACTTCCACCCGAGGAGGGCCACCCCAAGCCATACCAATTTCGACCACGAAAAATCAACAATCTCTTTATCATTCAAGAGCCTCGAATTTAGAGCAACCGAAAGATTATCAAGGATAAAGTTTAACTCCAACCATTGTTTCACTTCCCAATCTGCTAGATTCCTTCTTACCTCAATGTCCCAACAACCTCCTGAAAGACTCTGATTTCTAAATTCTGCAATTTTCCTCCATTTGTTAACTGAAATAGCATAAAGTCTTGGAAAACGATTTTTTAAAGGATGTTTCCCACCCAAACATAATGCCAAAAAAGAATAGTCTCCCATTACCCATATATAATCGAATGTGATTCCTATAACAGTCACCAAAGTCATCATTTACCAAACAATTCTTTACCATTCTTTTACAAATCTAATAAGCCATGGAAAATGTCGAACCCTCGACTGAGATGGACCTTAGACCAACATCATTCTTGTAGCAAATCACCCTTTTCCACCATGAATCGGATTCGCTTGCAAAGCTCCACGACCATTTGCCCAAAAATGCTCTATTCAACAAATTAAGATTTATAACACCTAATCCACCCAAATCCTTAGGCTTGCAAACAGACGGCCAATTGACCTAGTGAATCATTCTCTTCTCATCCGACCCTCCCCAAAAGAAATTAGCCATGATCAAATTAAGTCTCGACAAAACGCAAGAAGACAAGCTAAAAATATACAATAAATGAATTGATAAGGAACATAAAACCGACTTAACCAAAACCACTCTCCCCGCAAGAGAAAGTGTTGCTTCCTTCCACCTGGAAAGTTTCTTGCAAAACCTCTGGATTATAGGTTCCCAAAGAGCCACTGAGTTCTTACTTTCCCCAAGGGGAAGCCCGAGATACTCTGACGGAAAAACACCCACTGAACAACCAATTGAGGCAGCCCATTGGTTCAAAAATGTAGATTCAACATTAGTACCAAAAATTTTGCTTTTGGACAAATTCATTTGCAATCTTGAAATTTAATCAAATAAAGATAAAACCATATATGTTCTTCAACTCTCCGCAAGCTGCATTACAAAAAATTATAAGGTATTCATCAAACTGTAAATGGGAAATCATAAAGGAATTATCCGAGAGACCAATCTCGAAGCCTTTAAACAGTCCAACATTCATCGCCTTAGCAAGCATAAGACTCAACAACTCTCCTACAAGAATAAAAAGAGCGGGGACAAGGAACAACCCTGTCGAAGGCCTCTAGCAATCATAAATTCCTCCGAGGGAAATCCATTAACCAAAATAGAAATTGAAGCCGAGGATATGCAAGAATAAATCCACTAATGCCACCTTTGTTCGAATCCCATATAATCATTATTTTCATCAAGATGTTCCAATCCACCGAGTCATAAGCATTTTTGAAATCTACCTTAAACACAATACCCTTGCACCTTTTCTTTCTCTAGTAGTAAATTCCTTCATTGGCTATAAGTGAACAATCCATAATTTTCCTTCCCGAGACGAAAGCAAATTGAGAAGGCCCAATTAATGAGTCTATATATACCCTCAACCTTTTCGACAGCACCTTTGACAAAATTTTGTACAACCCGTCGACTAAACTAATGGCTCTATAGTCCTCCATACTAAACGAATTCACTTTAGTAGGTATAAGGGTTATGAAGGAATGGTTGGCCCATTTCCCCCACTATTTTCCCCTGTAAAAGTCTT